CTACTGATTTTTGTGCACTTGTACAAATTAACATTTTTTGGGGGTGCTGAAGTTTTTCATTAATGTGATTCACCCACTTGTTCCTTGTGGTTCTCTTCCGAAGAGCATTTGCAATATTTTTGGAGCTTGATGAGGGGCATTACTGAATCAGTAATTTGCAAGTTACAACTGACCATTATAGTCAGCCTTCAAGATGCAATGATGGGCAAAAGATTAAAATTTTAATGCTTTCTGTCTAATTTGAGTGAGGATAATGTTCCAGTTATTTTATAAAAAAGGAAGCAGGATTTGACTTCCAAAGATGCTTTATATTTTGGATACGGAATCAATACAAAGGTGAGATACACCCAATTTGAATTGGTAAAATATGTAAATCTCCGCCTGCTAAACTGTCAGAGATTAATGTCTGAATAGCAGTAGGAAGCAGAGCCAACTGTAAAATTATACAGGGCATGGCGATTACCCCATCACATAATGGGGTTTGATTTAGAGGCTCTATTTTGGGTTCACACATAAAGCACCAAATGCAGAAAGCTGAGCTTTGTTTAATTTGTCCGGGGCAGCGCTCTAATTTTCTACAACATTATTCACTTCCCTTTAAGAATGAATAACACATTTTCTTTATGGAATTCTGTGCATCTTTGATTTGGGAGCAGTGGCTTTCCTTAAGCTCCCCTATTCCATTCCTCTTTTGTTGCTCTTGTATAATGCAACTGAATTGGGTTCCTTTAAGTTGCCTTATTTTGATTGTACTGTTTCTGTAAAGAACAAGCCATATCATTTTGGACATGGGATAGTGTAGTATTGTAGAGTTGACAGATTAGAGAAAATGGAGGCCCAGGAAACACAAGGCCCTGTGGCTCTGGCAGAGCTGGGTTTCACTTCTGGGTCTTTGTAACCCAAGTTAGAGCACTTGCCACCTAAATTAGGGGTCGCTGCAGGTACATTGTGTGGCCTTCTCTGAAGACTTGAAACTGTCACCCCTAGGCAGCAGCTCTGAGGGCTTTATCTTAGACATGAATAACCTGAGGATGATGCTACCTACTTGACATTATTACTGGGTACTTTATCATTAAGGCTTTACTTGTTCAAATAAGTACAAGATTCACTTATTTTTTAAAAAAAGATAAGGTTAACTCACATTTCTACAGTTTAAAGTCGATGAAGTCCTCTTACAATTTTTTGATAGTGACTACATTTTATTTTCACAGGTTATTTTTCATTACAAGTAGTTTATATTGATAGACTCTTAGTTGAAAGGATCATATGCCTAACTCCAGCTTGCGTAAGCAAAAAGGGAACATACTGGTTCACATTCTAAGTGTGCCCATGGATGGATCCAACTCAGACACAGCTGGATCCAGGGGCTCAATGGTGTCTGGCTGGGTTTCTCTGTTTCTCAGCTTCCCCTTTGGTGGTCTCAGTCTCAGACTGAATTTGAAGAGTAGGAGAGTCAGCAGCTCAGGACTCACACCCCTCAGTGTATATATGTTGATCTCCCAGGAGGAGACCGGTGGTTGGCCAATCTTGAGTTGCCTCTGAACCAGTGCCTTTGGGCAGGGACATGAGGCACTCAGATGGTCAGCCTGTGTCACATATTCTTTGGGTCCTAATACCAGGGGCAGGGAACCTCATTCCACAATGCAGCATAGAGTGACAGAGAAGTTTCCCACAGGACAGTATCAGGAGAATGTTCTTGTCAGAAATGTTTCCAACTCTTGTCCTTGTACTACCAAACACTTATGATAGCAAACTGGTTACATCCAATGCTAATTTGCCATAAAAGATGTCTTATTACAGCCATGACAATTCATCATGTAATCTACATTTTATTTCTTCTGTTACTTTTCTATTTTCATAGGGGGCAAAAAGGACAAAAGCATTAGAAGTGAAAAAACTCAAATCATTTCCTGTATTTCACTTTTATGTATTATCTTAGCCTCTCTTATTAGCTGTCCTAAAGAACTCTCCCAGACACGTGGCTCCCCCCACCATCAGGAGGAACCCTTCCATACAGAGACTAATATTTGATTTCTGCTCTAGCTGTGCCTGCAACCATACCTGGGTCCATGTAGTTGTTTGGGAAAGGTGGGTGGATGCACAGGTGAGCAAATGCTGAATGGCTGGGGAAGCCGGGCTCTGAAGAGCGAGGCAGTGACGTTGTGTAACATGTCACCCAGAGGTGGAATTTGAACTTCTTTATTTTCTTCTCTACAATTAAGGCTTTTTTCTTTCTTTCTTTCTTTTAACTATGTGTTTCTTTTAGTTGGCTCCTGTCAAGTAATCAAGGGGGCAGGATGTGTGCCAGCCCACAACTTCCAGTCTCCGTGTGCTTGGGGCTGAGTAAGTGGCTGTGGAATTTGGTCCAATAATTGGACAATGATGATTCGAGACAATCTCAGAACTTATGGGCAGTGTGGGTATCTACCCTCTTGAGAGGGTGCTGTTTTCAGAGGCCTTTACAGGAATTTACTTCCTGGCAGAAGTCGGACCTAGATGACCCGTGGTTTCACATTCCTCTTGTTTGTAGTCTCAGTCCAACCGCTCCCTCCTTACTCTTACTCACCCATGGGCCCTAGTTCCTCTCCCACAGAGGCCGATCACCTTCAGCTCTCACTCTCAGTGATCCACATGGCTCCTCCCAAGCACGCACACCACTTTGCACCTCCAAACTCACACCCTCCATCGGAAAGAAATCAATTAACAGCAAAGCAGAAGCTTCCGGATTCATAAGAAGACTTGCCCTTCCTCCATCGCCTCCTTCTTTCCTGCCTGCCCCCACCCTGGCTCCCAGTGACTTATGAACAAACCAATTCTCTGGGGAATGTAAGAGCAAGTTGCTTTCCCATTTGAAAAGTATCAGAGCTGGCAACTTTGTTTCCTAAAAGGGAGTTATGTCCATCAAAGTTCAACCAGAGAAAAACAGAACTACATGAAGATGTACAGCAAGCTGGCTACAGAGGTGCACGCCTGTCATCCCAGTGGCTCAGGAGGCTGAGGCAGGAGGATCATGAGTTCAAAAACAGCCTCAACAAAAACAAGGTGCTAAGCAATTCAGTGAGACCCTGTCTCTAGAGAAAACACAAAATAGGGCTAGGGATGTGGCTCAGTGGTGGAGAGTCCCTGAGTTCAATACCTAGTACACTGCTCCCTACCACAAAAAAGGATGTACATAAAGAGATTTTTTTTTTTTTTTTTTTTTTTAGGAACTGACCTATGTGATTGTGGGAGCTGATTAGGTAAATTTGAAAACAAAATTGAAGGCAGAGTATCTCAAAATTTAAAAAAAAGTTTAAAAAGTACTGGGGATGTGGTTCCTGGGTTCAGTTGCCACATACATAAAAACAAAATCAGTGTCTTCTATTTGAAACAAAGAAAGAAACGAAAACCTTCTGTGAAATGGTCTAAAACATAAAGCCTTTCCTTTTTCCATGAATCTCTTTCTGGAAAAGTCACAGCATCGTTTTCAGTGCAAGTGGCGGCCTGACTCAAGGAAGCAACGTGGGCGGGAAGGATAGGAAGGATTCCTTCCTCATCGTGCTTCTTAGTACACAATTGACTTCTTCCTGCATTTGGAGAAAGTTCTGGTCACCCAGTGCGGCCTCTAGGGGCTCTGGGTGCCCCTCCTTTCTCAGTCACAGGCTTCGCATGCTGACCTTGCATTCACCTTGACTCTTACTGGCTTCCTACCTGCCATGGGTCTATCAGTATTCTATCACTGATGCAAATGGGTGGCAAGAATGGGAAGGTGAAAACGGTGAATATCTCCTTGACTCATAGATGTGTTCCATTGTCCTTTAGACCTCACTTGCAATACACAAGTTCAGTGATGAAATTATTCAGAATTTTCAGAAAGTGACATTAAACCAAAAGCATTAAACCAAGCCTGGAGCCCGTCTGAGGCTGTCCTAGAATGGGACCCTGTGAGTGCAAAGGGTGTGTTAAGCCAAGTGTGTGCACACGCATGCGTATCTGTTTGAGTGTGTTTGTGAGAATGCACATGTGCTCTTTCAGATAATGTTGACAAGAGGTGACATTTGATCAGGGAGCAAGAAAAATAAGGTTTGCAAAAACCTAGGGGCAGGAACATCATGTTCAGAGACCCCCAAGGCTAATTCTTGGAAGAATGAGGAAGTCACAGTGGCTGGATCCACAAATGAGAGTGGAAGGGGTGGGAGATGAATGTAGAGGGACAGTGGGTTTCTGCGTTACTGATGGCCTCAAAGGCCAAGGCCAAGAACTTAGGAGTTTTTCCATGAAGAGATGGAAGGACTTGGGAGAGTATGAGCAGAGATGTGGCATTCAACGTTTGTGGTTTAGTAGGATATTCTCTGGATGGCAGTGGTCACCAAAGGGACAAAGTTATAAGTGATGGGAAGAGTGTGAGTGCTGTAATAATAACCAAGCAACGATTCAGTCTTGGACAGGGTGGTATAGACATTAGTAACTCAGAGTCGCTGGATTCAGGGCATACTTCAAAACAGTGCCACCAAAAGATACTTACCTAAGATCATGGCCCCACGACATCAGATTAAAATAATCTAATGAGGAGTAATGAATTTCCCGAAGTTCTACAGCCAGTGAGTGCAAGAGCTGGGGAGGGTAGGGAGCTGCTTCACTTGTTCTTCTCCTCCTGTGATCCCTGTGGACTTTCTCAAACAATTCTGCACCATCCCCTTCTGATCATCTTTACTAGTGTGGCTGAATCTACCTGAATTACCTCTTTAGGAATTCATCCAATACAACACCTTCCAAAATCTCCTCTGGACCATAAGGTCCTGGGTGCAGATGGTCTCTGCTTAGGGATGGCTCTCTCCCAGTTTTACTTTAGTAGCAACCTGACCGGATTTTGCCCTCTCCATTTAGTTAATATTTCTTGGCCTTGCTCACTCAAACAGAGATAATAGAACAAAGATTTTGCTACTAAGTTCGACATCCAGTTGCTCCACATGCGAGTCCAAGCTGCTTACGTGTATGTGGCTTATTTTCCTGTCTTTCAGCACTTTCAGACCATGCTGAAGTCTAAATTGAATGTCCTCACACTGAAAAAGGAACCTCTCCCAGCTGTCATCTTCCATGAGCCGGAGGCCATCGAGCTGTGCACCACCACACCCCTGATGAAGGCCAGGACTCACAGTGGCTGCAAGGTATGGGCATGTGGCCAACAGGGCTTCTCTTGGTGGGATAGGCTCAAGCACGTGTGGCTTTGATCTTTTGTCTCACAAGGTAGCCATTTTTTAAGAATGCAAATATTAAACAACTAGCAAGACAAGCTCATTGAGTGATGGTAGTATGAATTCATATCCTGCTTTGTTTTTCTTAATAATGTAAATGCTCTTTATTGTTTTGATCATTTTGGGGGCACATATGAAAAACAGGTCTTGGTGTTTGTGAATACAATGATTTTCTTGCTGTACTTTCTCTAGCTGTATGGAACTTTGGGCTTTGCAAGGGAAATTTAATCTTTAAGGGTAATTCCTCCCTTTGTATTTGTAAACTGAATAAAGCATATCATAAAGAATGAAAACACCAAAATCCCAAAATAAAAAAAAAAAAAGTTTTCTCACATTTGTACTCTCAGAGTCCTTTGGTGTAATTTTGCATTTTTGCTTCGCTTCAGCTCTCAAAATCTGTACAAATATTCATGCCTCAATATTCATACAAAAGCATTTTTTATTTATGGAAACTATAATGCTGACATGGAAACAAAACAGGAATATGAAATGTATAATTCTGGTAGGCTTTTGGATTCTTCCTCATAAGTTTTTCTTTCTTGTTTGTGATGGTGAATAGCAATTGGTTTAGAGATAACAAAGAAAATATGTTTTATGCATATTCTTTCATCAGAAATTTGTTCTGAATGATGAAAATATAATAGGGGGCAAGGAGAATACATGATTGCACATGGATTTCTTTTCAGCTTTGCAGATACACTCCTTTCCTTATTTTATTGTTGGGGAAGCGGGTCTGGAATAGTGGGGATCAGTTTGAGTCCCTCCCACTTGGGTGACGATGGCAGGCCTGAAGCTTCTCACACATCCATCTGCCTCAGACTTGCTAGGCATCTGCTTTCTGCTAGGCACTGTGGCACAGTGTGAGCAAGACCCACAGCAATTTTATGAAGTTTACCTGCTAATTGTAAAATGGGAGGAGAGCCAGCGTGAAGAACTTGTGCAAATAGAATAGGGGATGCTCATTTTCTCAGGCAGAAATGGGTCTTGGAATGGAGAGGAATGGGCCAGGGTACCTGGGAAGTTGAGAAAAGTGGTGGGTGGGTGGGGTTGGGAAGTCTTGTGGTCAAGGCGAGGAGTTTAGACTTTGTTTTATATATAGTGAGGAGTCAGGCAAGTGACATATGACTCCATTTCAAGAAGCTATTTTAATAGTATCCCTGATAAGGTTAAGCTAATAACTCAGGTGCCCCGAGCAGCTGCCAGTGGGTCAGTTTTAAAAGAGGAGAGTGAGTCCAACAGAACTGGCCTTAGGTCCTTTGTTTAATGCTTTCAGTGAATTGATGACATAAAGGTATTAGGAAAAGGTGCTTTCCTTTGGAAAGTGGTACGAGATCAGATTTGCTGTAGATTCTTTAGAAGACTGGCCCATGTCACTTCGAATCCTGTTCCTATTAGGAAAATGGAGCCTCAAAGTAAGAACTCAGCAGGGACAAATACAAGGAAGGGAGGTTAATTGGATGAAGCCTATCAAGTGTGTTTTAAAAATTAAAAAAAAATAGTTAACAGAATAAAAAGACCTAAAGTCGAATCCACATATGAAATTATGAATATGTGTTCACATGAAGACAGATTTGCTAGGAGCATAAAATCAGTGCTTTAGAGTTTAGGATTCAAGAGCTATTTTTTTTTCTGTGTACTGCCTTAGGTTGTGCTCATTTATATTATGTCTAAAAGGACATTGAAACAAGAGAAGGAATTCAGGATAGCATGCCAAAGAGGGCAGGGGTTGCGCTGGAGTCAGTCTGTGTGGCCACAAGGCGAGGGAACTGGGCACTGATTACAGCTGGACACAGGAAAGGACTTCAGCATTCAAGGTGAAAAACACATTTCACCAGGCTGTAAAAAATTTATGAACTCTCCATCCCTAGAAATCATCAAGAGGAGGTGCCTGCAGGCATGGATAATCATAATGCCAGAGTTGGGGATCCAGGCCAGTGCCTCTCAAGGTCCTATCCAGCATGATCATTCTATTCGAAGGAAGAAAATCTGCAAAATGTGCAGTTCTCCAAATTGGATACAATCAACTTTAGACCTTCAAATTTTAACTGTAAAAATGGACGAGAGTTGCATGTATCCTTTCATTTTTAAGGACATGATCACATTTGTGTTGATCTTTTGTTAGGAAAAAAAAAAGAAAGATAGATCTTCAAACCAATCCATTTTTATTTAAAATCCTTAGACCTCCCCTGATTTTTCCCAGTCATCTTTAAGAACAAAGTCCAGTGTTTCCTCTCTGATTATTGCAAGTAAGTAACTTAGCTCACAAGATGCCAGCTGCAAAGGGACTCTCTCTCAGGCTCAGGCGTCCCAGGAATAATGAGCACAATGTAGCCCCGGCCCAGCTGCAGGCCAGCCTTTGGGACCCTCCATCTTTAGACAGAACTTGTTCTTTTTTCCTAAAAGCTCTCAAGTTGTGCTTGTATAACTTTGGGTTTGGGGAGGGAAAGAGGCAGGAAGAAGCAAAGGAAAGTGGAGTTGAATGTGGGTTAGGGTTCGCACCACTGAGACCCTCACTCGTCTCGGATTTCCCATTTCCCTCTGATCTGTATTCTCGGTGGGTTCTGGCAGGATCGCCTTGCCAGGCTATTCATGTTTCGGGCAGCTGGGTCTTTGTGTGTTCTTCTCTATTGCTGCCACATTTTTTTTTTTTTCCTGAAGTGGAGTTATTTAACCACACTACCACTGCATCCCATTAGGACTCTTGCTGGAATGGTTTTGAGAATCAAAAGCTGGGTCAGATTTCACACTGGCAATGGTGGCTTGTCACTCTTCTCTCCTGCCTAGCATGGTGGAATCCTAGGTGGCTTCACCTCATTAGCGAACACTTACTAATTAGTACTTGTTGTTGACCTACTGTGTGTGGAAGGAAGAGTAGAGAAGGAAACCAGAGTAGTTTTTGTGGATGATCAATGCACAGCCAAATAGAAGGAATGAGGTGAGTGCCCAGATAAACAAATCACAAGTGTTTTGGAAACTTGTGTGTGTATCAGAATCCCCTGGGAGGCAAATTCCTGGTCCTTCTTCCCACAGCCCTTGATTCAAGCACTCAGCTTCATGGTGGAGAGCAGGAGTCTGCAGTTTAAAATATACATGTAATTTACATGAAAGTGGGCTGGGCTTGGCTCTTGAGGACTTGAACCACAGACTGGTATGTGATGGGAGTAACAGAAATGACTTATACTGGGAGGTGGGGGATGGGGTGGAAAATGGTATCTGAGGGCACTTGCGTGGTCGCGATGCATTTGCCACAGCAGGTCAGGAGACTGCGGGGATGGGGGGCTCTGCAGGTATTGACACAGATGTGTGCTTCGTGTCACTTTTTATCTCCAGGGAGCATTGTTCTGGTTTACGTTGACTCATCTCTGGGTCTGCTCCCCATAGTTGTCAAAGCCTTTGAGAAATAAAGATGAATAAATAATAAATAAAATAGTAATGATGATGATAAGTGGTCCCACTCATAATGCAGAAACAGTGGTAGCAAACAGCTGTTTGTTAATACAGGAAGCACTTTTAATGCATCTAAGCACTTTTCATGGTACGGATTATTTCATCCTCATGACAACCCAGTGGTTTAAGAGCCACGTGCAGCCGCAATTCACACATCATTTTCTTGAGGCTCAGAGCAGTCTAGTACCTGTTTCAGGGCATTCAGGGAGGAATTGGCAGGGTTCAGTCGGACCTCAGCAGTCTGGCCCCACAGCTCATGCTCACCCCCACTGGATCCCACTGCCTTTCCAGGACCACCCAGGGGCATCATTTGACCAACTGCATCAGGAAATTTTATGTTCTGCAGACTGCAGTTTCTGTATGCCTTAATAGGCTGGAATCAGTATATCCACCTATATTTTTAAATAAATTATTATTATTTCAATGATACAAATTTAAGTGTTACAGTGTTATAATTTGATATATGTACACATCACATGATGGTTAAATCAAGGTAGTAAATGTTTTCATCTCCTTAAACATTTAAAAATTTTAGTAACATGTAGTAATTGTACATGCTTATGGACTAGAGTGTGATACTTGTCTATAATGTGTACTGATCAAATTGAATTAATTAATATTTCTGTCTCCTTTTCATCAGTCTGTGTTTAGAGCCTTTGAGCATCTCTTTAATATTTATTTATAAAATTTTTAACAGGTTATTATGAACTGTGGTCACCCCACTGTCTGTAGAACAATAGAGCTTATTACCACTATCTAAGTATGTTTGGGTAACTGTTATTCAGGCACCTACCATTCATCCCCTCTTGCCCACAACCTTCTCAGCTCTTGCAATCACCATTATATAGCCTGGTTGATTTTTTTTTAAACATTCACATATGATAGAGAACATTGTCTTTCTGTGTCATTTGGCTTATTTCACTTAACATAATATCTTCCAATTCCATCCATTTTGCTGTAGGGATAGGATGCCACTGTTTTTATGACTAAATAATATTCCACTATGTATATATGCAAGATTTTCTTTATCTATCCACCAATGGGTATCTAGATTGCTTCCACGTCTTAGCTATTGTGAAAAGTGCAACAGTAAATATGATGTGTAGATACCTGTTTGATATGCCGAGATCACTTCTTTTGGATACATACCCAGAGGTGGGAAAGCTGGATCACATATTAGATCTGTTTTTACTCTCTGGAGGGACCTCTCCACCTCTCCATAGTCACCGTACTAATTTATATTTCGACCAACAGAGTTCCCTTTTCTCTCCATCCCCACCAGTGTCTGTTATTTTATGTCTTTTCGGTAATATTCATTCTAACTGGGGTGAGATGACATTTTTTTATGGTTTTTGAATTACATTTCCTTGACAGCTAATGAAGTTGAACATTTTTTTAAAATAAACATATTGATCATTTGAATTTCTTTTGGGGGGAAGCGTCTATTCATATCATTGATCTCTCTT